TGCGGTGTTTCCTTCCTCTTCCTTGTCATATCCTCGTTTTTTACGTACACCCTTAGACTTGCATGCACTACACTACCACACTTGTTGGGAGAGCAGTGGTGAGTTTAGAGTTTATCCCGGCTGGGGCGATGCCTCACTGGAGGAATTACCTGAAAGTGAAATTCACCCGGAATCTGACGTGCAGGCCGGCGCCAAATTTCACCAAACACGTTGACAAACTCCACCTCCTCCTGGCATCATAATATAAGCACTACAGATGGACGTAATGACCTTAGCAGTTGAAGGCCCGAATACATCAATCGATTGCTTACAACGAGCCACGGGCAGCTCCCAATTCATTCTTTCCCCTCTAATTCCCATCCCTATTCTTAGCGTAGGGCTTTGTGCTCGCCGCCCTTCCCTAATGATCTACAAAAGATCAGATAAGCGACGGAAGTAAAGGATGCGACATACATACCTGTACGATATACCACCGTATGCAGGAATGCCTTCTCATTTCTGTAATTAGCGTATTTCTCTGAGTCTTGAGTGATTCGCCTTTCGGCAGCCTCAACATCCTGCCTTAGTGATGAGAGTGGGAACAGGATGGGCATGATTGAACGCCCGCAGTCCGTGACCCGTTGTTTAAACAACAGCTCTGGCATTCCCTTGGAAGTGACCAAAGTAAACCACGAAAACCCCACTTCACAACAGCGAGTGTTTTCAGCAGTCTCTAGAATGCTTGAGTTTTGTATCAGTTCTGCTAGTGGTAATTGGCAGCCCTGAGCGATGAGCGTACATTTTTAAGGTCCACAGACGGAGCCACCCGCACGATTTAGGGCCTCTTGCACACCGCACCGTGAGGCGGAAGTGGATGGACGGCGAAGAGCTTTAGATTCTTGTTGCCGTGACAGTGCAGCCGCATTGGGGCCTTTGAAAGCTACTCGCGGCGAAGTATGAGAGAGAATGGAGCGAATTGAGTGGGGATCGATTCAATCCCCCGGACCATAGGACGAGAGTGCTGGCAGGATGGGGCACAATGCTACGTCATCCTAGCCCTCATGAATAAGGGCAGTTTTATGACTAATCTCTATAAAGCATAAAGAAAAAATTTGTAAACACTAGAATTATTTTCGGTGACGGAGACTGTTAATTACTTCGGTGACGGAGACGAGATACTCTAGAAGTAATTTGGTCGTTTTTCTTGAGTCCAATACTTACTTTACAAAGTTATAATGTGGACGGTAGCATATCCGTGTATAGTATGTATAGTTTTATTAAATGCCACATTCAGAAGAATTTACTCTAATACGAAGAATGTAAGGAAATACATCCTTCGTATTTCGTGCAAAGAGTATTTCTCTGGCATTCGTCCGTAAGTTTATTTTTATTTTATTTTATTTTATTTACTTATTCACGCCAATCGGCTTTGTACATATCGGTAACAATTTATATACACACTGCACAATCACATTCCAATACACTATAACAATTTCTAAATACAACCAATCGATGCATATAATTAAATTAATTAAATTACTTTGAGATTATAAACCCGTAAGTATCACACATCATCTCGTTGTGTTACCAATCTTCGTAATAAATATTTTAAACATAACACATTATCTGTTGTGTATAATTTTCTTTATCTGTATCGAGAATGATGTGGATCCCCCAAAGACGTAATCAGGGATGTTTCGAAAATGTGCGCTTCGTGCAGCCAGGTTCTCGAATACTAATCCAAACGGCGGTGAATCTCGATGTTGAAATACCACATTCTTAACTGATGTCCAAAAACCTACTACATTATATGCTATCGTTTCCGGTGGAGTTATATCTTTGAACATTGCTTGTGCGGTGAAGAATTTTCCCCAAGACACGGGTTTGTCCCACATAAATAGGAGGTAGGCATGCTCGTGCAAATCAACCGTGAGTCATCTTGTAATTCATGGCGATGCAAGATAAAGTCTGAACAGTATGTCAACAACAAATTTCTCATATTTTACAAAGTGGATCATGTAATATGTAAAATCCCTGATCCTGTCAGTTGTTAATTATCTGAAGATAAAGTGTGCATAATGAGCAGGGTCGTCCAACTGGCGGCCAGCGGGACGCATGCGACCCGCGGTTCATTTTATTTTGCCGCGAGAAAGGTTCATAGTCAAAAGTTAGTCTCTTGCATCCACGTCGTGCGAAACAGTATTGTGCGCCTCGCTCACGTGACCTGCAGGTGTCAACGTCTTCTTAATGTAAACATAGGTTAATTTTAGTATTTACTAGGCTGTCAGGGTGACGCCGCGTCTATGGCGAAGGTGCCGACGTTTCGGTCGCCATTCTGCGACCTTCCTCAGGGCGTAATTCATTAGAATGGCAGACGCGGCGTCACCCGGACAGCCTGACTCAGGCCGCGGAAGTTTACGCTCTCATATAGGTTAATTTGAGATTTAAGGATATTTCGTAGTAAATTCAGAAACGCACAATCATCCTAATGTGTTTTATTGCGTTATGCAAGGTAAGGCCTGGTATCACACATGGTTCCATTCTCACCCATCCACCCCACTTCAGAGCAGCCAGGTATACTGCCGAGATCAACGATACGGGGAAGTCAGAGAAGTATTGTAATATCTTAACAATACTATTTTTTGATCGTAGAATTGGTTATTAAAGTATTGTTTTGAGCGGTTACGCGTCAGGATTAATATCTATTTGAAATATTGTGAAGAATAGTGCAGCAGAAGGAATATACACCGAATTTTATACCCACCAATTGGAATGTGTCTATGGATGTCCTGATGGCTGTATGTGTCATTCACAACTCTCACATTTGTGACGTCGTGGGTATGGATGTACATAACAAGGAAAGACATTAGTAGTTGCAATTAGTTTATTTACAAATAAACACTAATATATATATATATATATATATATATATATATATTTGTATATTAATATAAAAAAGTTCTTGCTTGAAAGCGTTTTGCGGGAGTTAACTCCCTTCAGCCCCTCTCTTTCTCTAAAGGCGCCTTGCAGCAGCGCAAGCGAATAGCCAATTCTGCCTACCCGTGTCTCGGCATCGGCCTTGGTATGGGAGATCCACCCTCTGCCATACAGTGGTCAAGAATCACTCAGACGTACCTATAGTCGTCGGAGCACCTCGTGCAAACGGCACATCGCCAGCCTGGCGTCGCGGCTCCCCCTTATAAAGGACGTGACTTCCTAAATTTTCCCCCTCGCGTAGCCCTACGGCGCACCTAATGACCCTGGCTCTCTTCACGGCACCCTGTCGCCACGTTACCTCACGTGAGAGCGTAGGCTTCCGCGGCCGGAGTCAGTATTTACTAGGCTGTCCGGGTGACGCCGCGTCCATGGCGAAGGTGCCGACGTTTCGGACGTCATTCTGCGACCTTCCTCAGGGCGTAATGCCATTACGCCCTGGGCATCTTCGCCATGGCCTCGGCGTCACCCGGACAGCCTAGTAAATACGTTACCTCATCTTTCTGGAAATCCCTTTTGCCCGGTGTGGCGATGATTGTTCGGGTGTGTAGCGTCGTGTAGCGCTAAAACACGGAGACGAGCACGTAGCAGACGACGGGCATCGCCGGATGTTTAACAAAGGCGTACCTAAGGGCGGAGTGATGACGCACTGGGACTTTCCGTGGACGTGGCGTGGTAGGGAGGCGGTAGGGAGGAGGCAATGGGAGCTGCGGGTAGCGCCGAAGGGCCTATATAAGGCCACGAGAACAATGCCTCGATCTTCTTGTTTCCCAGCAGCGTCGGCGGCAGGTGGTGCGTGAGTTTGTGCGAGTGGGTGCACGAGGGCGAGGGGCCGGCAATTCATTGTCGTGACTAGCGAGACGTGTAGTTGGTCTCAAGGTAGAATGGTGCTCCGCACAGGGAACATTGATCGTATTTTGCGGTGAGGTAGCCGTTCCGTAAATTATCTCTCGTCGCAATGGTTTCTATTTATTTAGTTAATTGGTTAATTGTGACTACGGTCTAGAGTTTGAATAAACCTTCTGTTCTTACAAACCACTCTCGTGTGTGTTCTGATTACACCCGTATGAAGCCACAGGTGTGTGTTTTGAGCTGCCCTCATCCCCATACCTTGCATATGTATCTGTGCTACAGGACGTTCTACGATGCTACAAATTAGAAGCTTTCGGAACTAATTGCGCCGATCATTAAGATATTTTAAATTAGAGCGGGGAAGGCACTTTACATGAAGCTCCTGAGAAATTTGCAAAATTTTCCGGTAAATCGATAAGAATTGTCTTTTGAATGTTTAAGCTAGAAAACAAAGTGATTTATAATAATTATATTGTTCCGATTTTCATTGAAACCTCTGAATTTTTGAATATTTTTAAACATTTTTATATTTAAAATCCTTAAGGCTTTCCTTAGTTATAGGTTGAACTTTCTTCTCAACCAAATTTCATGTTTTTTGTTTTAAATGAAAGGATATAGACCCCTAGTGTCTTATCGCTGGTTATTGGCAACAGCTTTTTATAGTATTAAATCCAATTTTTTTTTATAAAATGGTAATATCAATTGAAAGAATGCTCATTTTTAGTTATTTGTTCAACGTTTGGTTGTGTCAAGAACTTCTCCAAGGAGGATTTGGTTTGCAGCGAGCGAGCAGGTATAATGTTAGCGATTCGGAGATATCAAATACGAGGGTTGGGGCAGAAGTCATGGCAATTATTATTTTCTGAAATAATTATTATCCAGAAGTACAATTAATATATTCCTATTGTTAAGTTATAAATTTCTAAAAATAGTAAAGTAGCATTGCGGCAAACTTCAGGACTGTGGTTATAATTGTTTATTATGTGTTATCAATATATTTTAATTATATGAATATAATTTTACTGATGAAATTACTCCAAAAATTTTTCTCAAAGCAAACATGTGTATTTTGAATATTTTTTAATTTGCACGAACTTCAAAGCAAAAGATTTTTGATAAAAGAAAATAAGAAAATGAACAATAAACTTGATTACATTATTTCCAACTTAAATTTTTTATTACCATAATCACAATTTTATAATAATTGTTTTAAAAGTTTATACTGAGGCTGGACAATATATTTATCCAAATATGCATTTGGCACGATGATTTTGAACGATACACCGTACATCTGCAGGACAACCGTACCAACAAGGAGTCGTGCAAATGGAGTCAATGCACGCCTCATTGTCAGGACAACCAGAATTATCTGCAAAAAAGAAATATAATTACACTTATCTGAACTAATAATAAATCCAAGGTTTGAAATAAAAAAGGATGTAACTGCCATTTCTGTTAAATTTACTTTTTATCAGAATAATAATGAAACAATTAAGCCCTATATGAACCAAAGTCCCAAGTCCAGACACATTTCATGATAGTGATAAGAGGTGATTATAAATGGCAGGAGTTGTATGTGCCAGTAGGTTTAACGTAACTTCCCAAAAGTATGAAGATGCTCTTCCGTTCTTTTTTATTTCAAACTTTTAATTACAACAAAGGAATGAGGAACAGCCGGCAACACATAAAACAAAATAAGTTCAACAAAAGACTATCATTTTGCTGTTGTTTTGCAAGTGGGGAATTTTGAGTGTTTGAAATGTAAGCCCAGGCATGCGCAAAGGGGAGCCAGGGGAGCCTTTGGGGGCCCCCTGAGAATTTTGATTTATCGATTGATTAGTGATCCTAGGCGCTTCATCAGCAAATATCATTGGTCGCGAAAGTCTTGTACATGTTTTTATCGCGGGCAGTGGCAGGTATCTTCCCCTGATGGATTTTTCTCTAATTTTTTTTTCTTTTTTCTCTAAACTAGCTCTCGAAACATTGCACGGACAATAGCACCAAGAATGTTTTTTCCCTTACATGGGGTTATTCATTTTTTATTCATCATTACCTGTTCAATATCTCCAGAATATGTTTAAAAAGTAAAATTATTCGATGTATCTAGTTAGTTACTGCCTTATTTTATGTGACGAGTTTCGAACGCTCTGGCTCGCACTTCGTCTGACGTCACAAATTTCGCTTCGCTTCTTTCCCCATCTAGCGGAGAAAGAACGAATCATTTGGAGAGTCTAAACAGGCGATTTGAATTTAGCTTAGAGGCTTGGCTTGGAGAACTTTTACATGTAGTAAATTTACTACAAGGGACAACCGTCTTTACTTCCTCTTCGAAAGAAGACATACGAAAGATTTTTTTCGCCCTTAAAATCTATGGCTTGGATTGGATTTGAACCCGCAAACAACAACGGTACAAAACCCCGATATACTACTGAACCCGCGGAGTAGCACAGGATAGAAAATTTTAATTTTTCGTAACAATTATTAACCATCCGAATAGGTGTGTTCTGTTGATGTTTGCAATGTGTCAAAATTAGAAGCGCACGCAGAATGTTTCTCAGAGAGTGGGAAGAGGCATGCATGTATAGTGCCCAGGCAATTCGATGATTTCTTATAAATAATTTTTAATTTATGTTGAATATGAAATGTATTTTTCTTCTATGACTTATAGAAATAATAAAAATATTAATAATTTAAATATTAAATGACTTTCTTTAGAAGAGAAAAACAGTGTAAGCTGTATTTTTAATACTCATCATTGCCTTGTGGGTGGGAGCTGTAGCCGAATGAGCCCCTTGGGTGCGCCACTGGATAAAATAATTGAAAGTCATGCACATTTAAAAAATACACCACATTTTCTCGAATATCAGCCTCCGGTTTTTTTTCAATTATTGACAACAGAAAAGGAAGAAGTTACTGATACACGAATATTTGAATATGAATTCTTCAAAATGTCTTGTATTATTCAAACTATATTTCAAATGGATATTTTTATTTTTGGTACACCCCGTTGTTAATAGTTTTGCGGATTCCCGTTTGTTTTATTTCGGCGCCAAATGTCTAATGCACGGTTATATGCTTTTCGTGTAACAAAGTTGTGCATTTTTCTATGTAAGCACGTCCGAGATGGAATAAAAAGTTGCTCACAACTGGCGCATTTCATGGCAAGCCCTCCGAGAGCAAAATCAGTTTCAATTATCAGACTAGTACTTCATTTAACAGACTAGTACTTCATTCCGCTCGTAGGGCGGAACACTGACCAAACACGCATTGACGCGACGTGACACAAACTTTCGTTAGAGGCCAACGCCTTGTTTGAAAACGGCAGATGACTGGTTGATATTTTCATTTGTAAATCTACTTTACTTAGTATTTCCTAACCTCTGCACTTGACGCTTTGCTGAGGGGCTGCAGCACACATTGCAACCATTACAGCCAGGAAAGCGAAATAGAAGTTCTGCAACACACAAAATATGTCCGTTTAGTTGAATACAAGATAATAAGAAGAGGTGCAAGAGTGTTTTGCTAAAACATCTTGCAACTAGGTATTTCTAAATAATCCAGGAATTCAGATTTCATATTACATTATATATTTTTAAATCAATTGTATTAAAAACTCTCTGTACTTCCTCACAGTATTGTGTGAAATGTTATAAGAAGCTAATTGCCTATTTATATTCATCAAATTTTTGATATTAATAAACGAGTATTTTTTTTCATTTATTCTTAAAGAAAAGTGTTTGACATTCTCCTCTGTTCACCAACTTGAAACTATTCATTCGTTGTTTTATATTCGCAAGTTTTGCAGTAAATGTGTATATGAAAACAGTGTGATAGATAGTACCAAGTTTCCTTACCATAAGTTGTTTCAATTTTTATATTTTCTCATCAATCGTCCCGCCTGAGCCCCAAAAGTTCTCGGCGTCGTGACGTCACCCCCTTCAGGGGATGACCCAAGTCCTTGCACTTGCTCGCCGCTAGCGGCCAAAGATTTTCCCCAAAATTTATATTCCCCGATCGATCTGGCTGATGTCGCGGCCCCTCGAATTTTTTTGGGGGGGGAGGTCTTAAATAAAACCCGTAGGACATTTTCCAAAATAATGCTCCATTATTTTTCATTAAACATTTTTTTGTGTGGTAGTGTTAAGAACGGTTAAAACTACGGAGCAGGTATCATTTTCGTTGACAACTTCGAACTTCCGGAAATTACAAAAATTCAATTTTTTCGGCGTTTTCCTACAACTCCAATTATGAAGATAGATTTTTTACCTTAATGGTATAATTTCTTAAAGCTTGCAATATGGTAATGTTAAATTTTACGAAAATTTTAGTGCTTTTCCCGTAATTTTGCGCGAGATAATTGAATGTGGTAGAATGTTTTCGAACCACTAGCTTACTTTTTCGATTGAATCAACACAGCGGCGCAATGCATAAATTGAAATTTCCATTCAACCTGCATCTGTGAAGACATATTTTCCACTGTGATAACTCGCGTAGTGTGATAAGTGAGGTAGCCAGAACATGAACAATTCAGTCTTTCAGTTGTATTAATTTTATTCATGGTTCATTGTATTTGCCAAAAGACCTTGAATAATCAATTCATTCACATTCATAATCGTTTTTACTTTCTCGTTAACATATGTATACACAAGAAAACAAAATCAAAAAACAGCGGATTTTCGGCAGAAAAAAATCATTGCCAGGCCCTGATAACGAAAACGTGGATAAATACAGTTGCTAAATTAAGAAAAAAAATCATCTAACATGTGGTGTACCCGGAATCAATATTTTGTGGATCCTTGATTCCGAAAAATCAATTTACAGCAAAACGCCCCTCCGTCCGTCCGTCTGTGAACACCACTAGCGCCTAATCCATACATAGGATTTTTTACTAATTGAGGAAATCCCTGTCCATCTAGCTTGAGTCAAAGCTTTGGTATTTTGAAAAACGTTTTTTTAAAATTTGGAGACTACATGAAGTCCCATGGACATTTTCAAAACTTTCTCAAAAACTGCTCCAAATTTTTCTTTTAAATTTCTTGTAAGAATTAAGTAAAATATACCTATAAAGGTGGCATGAGTTTGCTTTTTAGTGTTAACTCTGAATTTTCAATAATTACAAAAGTTTGTTTTTTTCGACGACTTTCAGCAACTATAAAGTTGAAATTTCCTTCAAAAAAATGTTTATCCATAATTAGTTTTTTTATTAAGGTCATGTACACTTTTTTTGAAATTTTTTATAGTTTTTGCACAATAAGGCATATGTGCAATTTTAAAAAATAACAAAAACAAGATTTTCTCGAAACGGCTCCAAATTTTTTCTTCGAACTTTTCGACCATATAGTACTTAATTGCACTCTTTCTGTGACTGAATGACTTCTTGTACGTCATTTATTTTAAGAAGCGAAAAGCAGAATATTGAATTTAAAAAATGCTTTTCACACTTTACATCTTAGGTACTTACCATTTTGTGCATAGTGGTGAGAGGGCGAAGACTCGGAGACCACTAACAGTGCTACTCCGTACTCCTCGGTATTTTATACGTTCAGCTTCCCAAGGTCTCTGGGAGGTTCTTTCATGGGCAAACTACAAACGCGCCCTTGCGTCATCATCCTGAAGGCAGCAAGTTCACACTTTTTTCTTATTTCCATTATTATTGTACAGTGGGTATGGCTTAAAAAAGGTGCTACCATTTAAGGATTCCTGGATAATCATATTGATCAGATGTCAGTGTCAACAACTCACTACCAAAAAATTCATTCATGTACATTGTTAATAACATGTTTACAACACATGTGTAATATGTTTACAACACATTACCAGATTAAATTAAATGATAAAAATGGAATCAGAAGTTAATATGTCAATTATTATTTTCTGCTGTATAACTGTTTCTATACAATTAGAGATTAATCCGTGCAACTAGAAGGAAAGTAATTTTGATTTTAACAATGATATTTAATGTCTTAGCTTACCGTTTGAACTGTATAATTCTTAAAAACACAAATACGCATCTAACATGCCGGGCTCCATTATCCTTTGAGAGAATGATGAAATGACCCCTTGTTTTGGATCTGGACGTATATGAAACATTACTCCCTGTCCCTCCTAGAGTTTAGTGGGGAATATACTTGTTCAAATTAACGTTCTCAATGTTCTCGCAATAACAAGTCGATTCCTTCACAAAGGTCATAAAAGCCAGAATATGTAGCTGCTTTGTGTTTGCAAATAGTTTTGTTTACTCTGGACCGAATATGTTTTAATAAATTCTTTCCAAAAACTGTTTTCACCTGTATTCATACTTCAACTTGTATGTGAGCTAGAGTAGAGATCCCAGAATGTAGGAAAACGTCTACAGGTTTGTCTCCCAATAGTACGTCACGTAGAATTTTTTACTGTTTTTGATTTAACGGTAGTTTAAGTAATTGAGTAACTAAAACTAATTTGTTCGATTAGTCTCAATGAATGGAGACTTGTTAAATCCTTTACTGACGCTGGACGTTTAAAGTGGCTTTTCCTCCCTCTGCTTTGTTGCTTAAGTCAATACAATTATAATTCAATATGCAGAACAATATTACGTTGATTTGTCAAAGCACCTCCGATTGCGAGAGAGTCCGCAAACATAACACATCCAAAGTGTGCTTTCCTGAAAGTCTACGTACTACTCTTATTGAGATTATCTTTCCAGCATGAATCTGCAAAATGTTTACTGTAGTGAGGTAAACATTTCATTGAAGCCGTGATTCACTGGGAATAATTTGGCGAACACAAGTTGGAAAAAAAACAACAATCAGTTCCAGCACAAAGGCCAGTGACCAAGCAGAGATTATTAGTGACTGTCGTAAATCATATTACGTAAGTCTAGCTTACAGCAGAACGTAATTTCGCCAAAAATTATGTAATGTCCAAGTGGTTCCTGTGAAACTAGCTAATATAGTTTCTTTCAACTTATCTGTAGTGGAACTCCAAAATGTAATCATGCAAATCATTTCAACACTCTAAATCACTCTAACTCATGACATCACTTACATTGCGATTAAATTAGTTCCAACTCGAGTAACGACGCGCATTGTAGTTAAAATGACCAATCACTGGGCACCCAAAATAAAGCCATGGTTTGCGAGTTGAAGGCCAACGTTGGTCCAACGTTGGTCAATTTATTTGTTTGTTTATTGATTTACGTCAAAAAGAGTTAAAAACCGTGTATATGTAGTGTTAAGGGAAGAAGTTAATTTGAAGTTACATTTATGTCCAGACGCTAAACAAGGGGCCATCTCAGCATTTGCTAGACGATCAGGGAAACTGGACGAAAACCTGATCGACAAGGGGAACATTGACCCAGAAGCTGATACAATACTTGAACAATACTTGTTACAGGTTCTGTACAATTATATACTCCAAATGGTATACAATACATAAAATGTCATTGTTGAAATTAATATTACTTTCTTTTGATATTCGGTATAGTCTCTAATTGTATAGAAACAGTTGTGCGGCAAAAATATTTTACATGGGACTTAAATTTTTGTATCAAATTTAATCGTTAATGTCATTTGGCAAGTTGTTCTAAAATAATGTACAAGCATTATAATTGATTTTTTTGTAGTGAGCTGTTGATACTGTCACCTGATGAATACTATTACTACGTCGAGTGTTGTAGTTATAATAGACAAATATAGACAACGGCGTTTGCTGAAAATATATTCCCACCCTTAAGTAAGTCATTTTTGATAAAAACCACTAATTCACATATGAAGAGACAAGGTAATGATAAAGTACTTAGATTACTAAAGAAAGGCTTATTATTCATACGATTCTTTTTTGTAATCTAAAAGTCTGGGAACTATAAGGTGTATTTCCCAAGAAGATTATGCAATATCTCGTACGGGAATGAACATTCTTGAAATATACACAATGAGCAGTGTGTAGGCTGGCAGAATTTGAAATAATTCTGAAAGCTTAGCATAAAGAACTAAATTTAGTGTTCAATTCATTTAACTCGGCGGTCCATTTAAGGTTTGACTGAATAGAAAGAACTAAAAATGTTGTTACTTCAACATCTGTCAATGGCACACCGTTCATTCTCAGTGAAGTGCAGAGCTGTTTATTTAAAATAGAAAACTGGATTGAAACTGTTTTATTTTCATTAACTATTAATTTGTTATTACGGTTTCTATATTGCAAAGAACATTTGTATCATCCGCAAAGAGAACTGTTTTTTCGTTTCTAATCGTCGAGGGCATATCGTTTACTAAAATCGATTCCTGCGGGACATTACATGCAATTGGCAAAGAATCAGTAAGGTATTTCTACTCTCTGAGATCGTTGTCGAAGATACGAACATAACCAATATAGAGCAACACCACGAATTCCATTCGAAGGTAATTTTGAAAGTAAAATGTTATGATCAATGATGATTTTGAAAGATCTATAAATATTCTAATAGATGATTTGTTTTGATCCATGGATGAGGCGATATCTTTAGGAAAGATAATATAGCGGTTTCCGTGGATTTTGATTTTCGAAACCCATGTTGGCAATCTGAAGACGCGTCGTGTTTACTAAGAAATGTTTCCATTTGTATGTAAAAGTCTCTCTAATATTTTTGAAAACAACAAAGCTTAGAGATCTCAGGGTCTAGATGATTTGTAAGATTTTGCTTAGAAATGTTTACGTGACTTCAACATTGAAACGGAACAAACGTAAATAAATTATAGTTACAATGTACAATTCAAATGAAGAAACTAGAGGTTTCAAAAACATCTGACACTGTTTTTGTATTTAGATCCACACTTTTTTGATAGACATTACTATTTTACCAGCACTATTTTCTCTACCATTCTTTGATACATACGAATACAAATAAATATACAAAGAAAAAATTGGAGAGGCTTTTGGGAGAGTAATTAATTATATATTGTATAAGTTTTACGTATACTTATAAAACATTGTACAGGTTCTTAATTGAAGATCTGTTTTTCATAAACAGATTTCATTAAGGAAAAAATTTCAATTTTTATTGTTGAAATACGGCGAAAAGATTGAAATTTTGAAATGTTTGAAAATTTCGGGAGTTTAACAAAAATGCAACTTACTGCATTTCTATAAGCGTCTTCTATAGTAAGTGTTGTATCAAAGACAAAATTAAAGAACAAATTTGAGGTCGTTTTTTAAGTTTTGAAAATGTTTGGACTTTATGTATAGAACCCTCAAAAATCAAAATATCCATTTCAAATTGAAAAAGATGCGACATCAGTCAGATCGATTGCAGGTTATTAATTTTGGTGGAAATTTTGCGTATTGTTTAGCCCCTAACTTTGTGCGGACTGACAGACGGAGGGTGGGTCGGTCTGTCGGTCGGTCGGTCGGATGGACTTTTGCCGTAATTCGATTTTTCGATTTGAAGGAACCACCAACTGACAACACATCGTGATAGATGGAAGTAATTTACCACATTTACAAAGAACATTTATCCACTTTTTTGTTTTGCAAGAAGAATTTTTCTTTCAGAAATTCGCCGTTTTTTCGAATCGTAACAATTCCGTGCTTACTCTCTATTCCGTATGAAGTAGGCGAGAATGTAATACCTGCCAAACCATCTATTGAGACTTTCTTGCCGCTGTCTCGAAGACCCGGGTCGTCGGGTCTACTACCTCTAGTTCCGTCGAGGCCGACGCATTCCTTGGGCCGGCGACGGCATCATAGCGCTTTGCATACCGGCAGCGGCAGGGCCAGCAGGCGGGGCCCTCCCACCGCCCCCGAGCGGAATTCGGGGGTTGACGAGACATTAAAGGGGTTGGGACAGGGCATTCCGAGTGAAAACGTGCGCGCTGCCCTTTGCATGATAAGGGCGCGCGGAGAGACGCTCTAGGGCCGGGCGGCGGCCGCCCTTGTCGCCGCCTCAGCCGGGAAGGAAACCCATTGAATGACGCCATCGGTTGCCAGAGTAGTTGGCACGTGGGAAGAGCTACGAAAGCGAAGTTCGTATCCTTTCGTATCCCTCCATATCCGAAGTTCGTAATGCAGGATGGAGACACAAAGTTTGCGCATCTCCTAGAATTAAGAGTTCATTCAACAAAACGTGTCACATCGTGAGCCTTTCAGGCCGAGGGATGAGCGCAGACTCGCTTTTGAATTTCGCTGGTCATTAATCGACGTTCACGTACATAAGATGGTCTGTGGTTGTTTCACGCTCTTATTTGAAGTTCTGATTGTAAAACTATCTCAATTATAAGGATGCAAACGCACAGTGTGAAATAAAACGACTTATGAGTCAGACTGCGGAAAGAATTTTTGTTTGTGAACTCTATAACTAAACAATTGATATAACATTCAATTTACTACTTCGGTTTTGAAAATTAATTATGATAATTATTCTAATTTGAATTTGAGGAAAATGTACCGCATTGAATCACATGTAGTATTCTGATTGATACAAGTAATGATGAGAATGTTAGATTACAGTTTATGTATTCAACTGTTTAGGATCGCTTATGATCTCTTGTAGACGAATTTTGACGTAAAAGGTCTAAGGTACGTTTTTCGCAGGCTTTGATCACAAAAGATATTTTTACATTTAAACAACACGTAAGAAATTCCACACTTAAACAACATTCTATACTAAGACGATTGCCGTTGACTACTTGGATTCTTATCGCACATTTTTAATACTAAATTGTTTATGATCTGTTATATATTTTTATTTTCTTTACAACTTGTGAAATAATAATCATGTAAAATGTATGACCTAAGAGTAAAGAGTTATAATAAATATAACAATTTGCATCTGCTGATCTTGAAACTCCAACCGCAGGCATCCAACTTTCTCAGGATGCCAACTTCAGCGTTATGTCTCACTGCGTACATCCCCACACTTTTTTGTGTTCCCAAATGTGGTGTCATAGGACTCGGAGGCTGTGGGGGAGTTTATCATTTCCCTTCTCTTCAGAAACTGGAATATACACTACAATCGACAGTTTGTCTGATGAGTAGTCAGGATTTCCAAGAAAATGCTTGAAATATTATTACCGCAAATTTATGTTGTTTCGTGCGTGTTTGCATGTTTTGGCTATTTTTTGAGAAATTTATGCGCAATGCATGTTTATAAGTTATGCCTTATTTCAAGACATATTTAGAATTGTATGTAATTTGTTAATTGCTTTCATAAACATTTTTGCATCAATTATGGTAATATTAAAATACTTCAAATTATTAATTAATAGCACATACTTAGAATCTGACTTTTGACACTCCACGTGAGTGAATAGTTGGATTTTTCTCTTAAAATTGCACGACTATTTGGTAGGACATATTTGCACCCATACTTCAGGACTTGATGGTGCCAGAAAATAGTGTCTTTACTGCTAAATAATATTAATGAAAATACCAATGATAATAATAATTATGATAACAATGGTAATAATAATGATAATAATGACAATAACAATTTTAATAATATCTATAACAATAATGATGATGATAATAATAATGACGATGCTGACAATGATGATGATGATGATGATGATAAATAATTCTACGAGTGCGAGCGCACAAACAGATCCCGTGGCAACCTCAAGATCCGTAATTTAATTACAATGCCAAGTCTCACGAAGTACGTCAAAGGCGACATAATCTTAGGCGGAGAAGAGCCTGGCGGAAGTGGCGCCAGGGGAGGCTGCGGTTTTCGGTGACGGCAGATGTGGCGGCCGAGGCCGTGTGGAGGAAGCCGGACGCGCGCTAAGGTCAGAAGCGCTGCGCCGCGCCTGCGTGTGACAACTGCCGGAAAAAGACCCGCGCAGTGCGCGGCCGCTGGGCGCTCTTTGACGTCCGCGAGCCTTGGCGTGTGCGCGCGCGCGGGAGAGATACGCGTTTTAGCAGCAGGAAGGTTCTTGCATGACGTGAGAGGAAGTGTGTGATGTTGCGTATCTCCCAGCCATTGACCGGCTTAGGCGGCTGAGGGTATCAATTGTTCTCAATGCAAGGGTCTTAGCAACACTCCCGACTTTACGCTAGCTAGATAGCTGGGTGGTATTCAGCCACTGTTTGGAGAAGAATTCTATCAGCTCGTAGCATTACGTAGAAGTTTGTTGTTTAGTTTGGTCTTGAAATTGATCCAATTTGTTCCGTAGGTTATGCTTGTCGGAGTGATCTCTATAGAAGGCAAATAGAATTGGGAGATGGTCTTCCGTGGTTTCCGATCAACACCAGGCGAATGTCGCTGCAGTTATCTCATAATCATACCTCGACATCCTCTCTCTCCGGAGTCAGACCCATATTGCAATTTCATTACATTTTCTTGGGAATCATACACTTTTAAAAAACAACAGTAATTAGTGATATAAATTCTCGGATTACTTGCGTTTTCCAAACTGCAACACGTATCATACTAGTACATAAGGATTCGCTTGAAAATCATGATCAACTTACCAGAGGAAGCACGCGAGATTCGAAAACAAATACATACCTTGATATCTGATGCCGAATTTACTCAAAATTACGTAAAAATACTTAAATTTGCTAACACATTTGGCTTAATGTGAGCTTTAAAAATGATACAGGTACGGTGTGAATTAAAATATCTGAAATTTCGAATATGCCAAAAGTTATATTATTTTAACTTTTCGTACATGTTCACAGTTGAAACTAGGTTTTTTTAATGCAGCCTAGTCCTCAATATTATAACAAATATATTTTATGAACAATTGTTTTGAAAATATTAGTTTTCGCGTAAATAGGAGAAAATTGTAATAATTTCTCCAAAATGCCTAAATTGTTTTCTTAAAAACGCCTCAATTTTTATTTAAAGATTCTGTTTTATCCAAAGCAAAGTGCACAATGCACTGAATTACTTGGCAGAAATGCTTTTGTGATAAAAGCACATTTTTTATTATCTTGTAGGATTATTTTACAATTAGTTCATGTGGGACCCAAATGTTACAAATTATCTGTTATATAGTTTCTCAACATCTCGAAGTTTTTTGTGAATAGATTTATTTCTTGTTTGTACACAATTTTATACAGTAGGCGTGGGGTTTGTAGAATCGTGTGTGGCATTGGAGTTTGAAACGCAAGCGTGGAATTATTTTCTTTAAAATGGGTGGCTAAATAGAGCAAATTACGCTCATAAATCAAGCTGCCTTTCATTAAAAGCTCTAAAATTTCAAAAATTAGAATTTGTTATTTTAGAAATTGCAATCTAGTTGCATAGTTTTCTGAAGTTAATTTTGTCAGAGATCGCTGAAGAATTACTAGGATACATGTTGTACTACAGTATAACAAATAATACGCAACAGTATTAAACAAGTGCTGTTGTAACACATCTAATTACATATAAATAATTGTACGATCTGAGAAGATTTCACAATTATAAATTGAAAATTGTGGATACTTTATTGATTAATTAATACACATATATTACAAAAATTAAATATATGGACTGAAAATTAAAAGTGTTATTTCTTGATTTTGATAAATGTTTTACAACAACGTAAAAATATGTAGTAATTGATATGAGTAGTAGATTTACTTTTACAGACATGTTCTCCAAATAATACAAATATCGATGTTATATGTCCAACTATTAGAATTACGAACGCACCCTGAATGTGAGAGAAAGAAATGGGAATTTCTTTCTCAGATATGTCTGTGCTCTTCGATGTATGTGTAGTCAGTTCTTTCCACCATTTGTCCACAATTCCACTTTCACAGAGAGAAGCAACTACAAAATTTAATATTGCAAAAATAAAGCTACATTTCTGGGCGTACACTGTGATGTAACTCGTGGATATAGAGTCTGGAAGACGACTAAGTGCTATTTTATAACCATCTCGAACTTCTGGTGGTGCGTAAATGTCAACAAGAACATTTTCAATCGCAAGAGTCATATCTCTTTCCGCGAAAACACGATGGAGACATTTAGTGTAGTTAGAGCACAACAGCATTCTTGAAAAGATATCTTGTGAGATGCTTGAATCATTGTAAAAGCGTTCCAGTGGCTTTTTCCAGAAAGTATGTACTCCGAAAACAAAATTTGTAAGAAGTAATTGCTCAACTGTATACATATCTGGATACTTTCCAGGAGTTGTGAGAAAACTACTAAGTGCTGATTGATACGCTGAGTTCAGTACCAGACAACATATTACCCACGTTATGAATGCCCATCTACTGGTAGCTTTTGTGGGAAGTTTGTTGATTGCTCCACATAACAAAGCAATAAATATCGGAAACCACCCTGGATATTCGGATGAAGGTACATATTCTTGGAATGATGCTTTGATTTTCCTTGTTGCAGTAAAAAACACCCAAAGAACGATAGCTGAAGTAATGAGAAGAAACCACGTGTCATTTGAAAATCCTCGAGTAAGACTTCTCCATCGTGGGATATTTGCTGGATGGGGAAAATACCAGAACAAAGAAAAGGATCCATGGGAGTGAGTGTAATCAAAGTTTTGAATACGAGTAAGTGTGTGAACGTATCCTCCAACAATCACGTCAGCACTATAGTTTCGAAGAAGATCTTCAGCGTGGGCAAAGCTATCAAGAGGTACATATATGTACTCTACAGTCATGTCAGCTTTTTCTGAGAGAGAATTAATTATTCTCACTTCAAGTCCATCAACTATTTGAGACTCGTCTGCCGATGAAATAGTATACGGAAACCACGGTGTAGAAGCCACCTTCAGAATAGTTTTGCGAAAATCCACAAATTTGGAGGAACTATGTGGAAATGAACTGTTCAAAGAGAGTCGAATTGTATGTAAGTCACCTTCAGGTATAGTCTCTTTCGAATCACCACGTTCAAGATCTCTCCA